ACCCCCGGTGAGCACACGTCCAATGAGAATCCCGCGACCGTCGTCGGAACGAGCGACTACACCCCACGCTTCTGAGCCATCATTCCGCTCGCCGTTGTTTGGCGTGCGGACGTTGACACTGCACTGTGCCGGTCAGTGACAGACTTGTGAACGTGTTAATGCCACGAACGTGAACAATTGAGGTTTGTTGCACACATTTGCTTACCCTTTGTGTAATAGTACCGTAGAATTACGAACCCAATTCTTCCTTTTGGTATTCGGGATTGTTGAACCTACGCGTCACTCAAAGTTCCGTATCGGGATACTTAACAATGACATTCTACACTGCGGCATAATACCGTTCGGGTGAAACCCTTTTATAACTGCAACAATAGTTTGGAAAGCACTTTTTATAGAATGAGGTATTCTCTGATCGAATTGTAGAACACACGGGTCGCCTCAGACCAAGTGGTTACATGCACTTCCTGGGGCTCAAGTACCTGCTGTCCAGGACTCGTTTCTTAACACTTCCCGAACTAACTCCCCTACTTGCTGCTTTTTGCCCTTCTACAAACCTGACTATGCACAGAATCCCATATAAGCCCATCTCTGGCACCTCAGACTACGCAACTTACTTCCTTGGCAAGATCTGTAAACCACAACAATCAGCACTTAATCCTAGTCCCTATCAAGTACCGCCCCTCTAGTACCCCCCCTCCACGGCCTTCAACTGTACCTCGTCTACCGATTCCAAGCCTCCCTCCACTACAAACAATGCAGAAGTTTCCCGTTCCCAATGGATCCACTCCCCTTACAGAGTTTGACTGCACCACTAAATTCCGCACTGCACACTGTCTCCACTCCTTATTTTGCATCTTTACCACAGGCCTCTTATTTCATTTTCAATCAGCCCAGTTTGGCTATCCGTACCCTCCTCTTCCTACGATTCGGTGCTGAAGGCACTACAAGACAGATCCTCCTGCCTTCCCAATGACCCTGCCTTAATCTCCCATGTCCCCTTTCTATTATTATTATTATTTTTATTATTATCACTGCACCTGCCCATCCACCCTGCTTGACTTAAATTCCGCTACTTCTGTTCAATCGCCACACATGGTACCATCCTCTGATGATGTTGATTACACTGTTACAAATGACTAATGGACCCAGGCTGTAGTTTTTTGTCCACGGAGCCCTACTGTCTGCACCGACATTGAGACGCTATCTCCGTACCCATCACGGTACGGTCCTGCATGCTACTCTCACACATCTTTCCCTGGTCCTATTTCGCCCCCCAACTTGGAAACTCCTGCTTTACCTGTCTTCAATCCATTATATACGACCCGCTGGTCTTACGAAGTTCTTACCAGCCATCACACCTACCCGCTGATAATATTTTCGTCCTTCTAATCAACACCCACTTTCTATTGCCTAAATTACACAACATCCAATTACCTCCACTATAGCTTGTCCAACTTTCATATGCATCACTAAGACGTGACCTTCCCCTAGAACGCCTGATGCCCTTGCCTTACTTCCAGTATACACTATATTCTGTTCTGGTCGTTCCCACCTCCGTGGTGGTGGCTGCTTCATATACTCCAGAACTAAAATGGGAGTTTCCACTATTGACGATTCACTACCACCAGACACTCAAGACTCTGGCTTTCTGTCTGTCGGGCTAATCCACCGTTCATCTTCGGGTGCTTATACATACCCTTCCACGTTCCACTGGTTCTACCCACGCTTCTATCCCACACCCAATCTCTACCTCACCCAAACCAATGAATCTTTGATGAACTCAACCTTCCTGAGATCGCCTGGACTCAACAAAACTCCCCTTTACGCCTTTCGCCTCTTCTTTTCCAACTTGATGTCGAAGGCTGGTCCCAGCTTGTAAAGCAACCAATAATAATAATAATAATGATAATAATAATGTATATTCCCAACTTGTGGACGGCATACCGTCTGGCATGATCAGGCGTTTACAGTCAGGCTGGGGTATGATAGGGGGATTTGCGGGTAGTGGGGATTGCGCGAAAAGGGAACAATGTCATGAAAAGTGGGAGGTACTCGATTAAATAATAATAATGTTTCTTTTGCAACTTGTAGGGAAGAAAAGGCATGAGGTCCGACTAATTTAAAGACTCAGTCGGCTGACATGAATGCGGTGCTCACACCCTGAACATTGTCTCTGTCAATGGCCATCTGTGTCCTACCGCTGCAGTTAGCCCAAAGTTCCCTGATAGCAACCACTGTATTGTCGCCTGCAGCTGGACGAGTAATCAACCATCTACTCCCCCCTTAAGCTCTTTCATCCGTTCCCCTACCCTTCTTGGAGCCTTTGCATTCTCGTTTCGCCACAAAAACTGAGACGAGTTCTTTCGCTCCCAATACACGCAAAGCGTGGCCAACATCTTTTGCGGCAGCCTAGCAGCACAATTATGTCCAGTGGCTTCCATACGAGCTTCTGGTCGCCATTCAGCAACAATATTGTCCGTTGTAGGCTAAACATTAAGGAAGTATCGTAGACCCTTCCGTAAATCCCATGATCCGTCTCTCCTTATCTAATTAACAAACTTACGACTCAGGTTACCACCATCAAACTCGCTCTTGAAAACTGCGAGGGATCTACCTCCGTAGCCCATTTTCTTCAATGTAAGATGCTGAAAGCACCTAATTTACAGGCGCTGCTTCTCAACTTCATCTGCAATTCCGAATATTGTGGTCGCTGATGGGAAGCCTCTGTCCAACCCTGCTGAAATCGCGGAATTCCTTAACTCTAACTTCACCAGCTGCAAGGTTCCATCCGTAGTGACCTTATCTGCACACTGCTCTCTACCTGGTTACGAAGTGGCCACATCTGCTGACGAGACAAGCCCTACCATCTGCACACTCTCAACTACCTTGTCTCACATAACTTCGTCTCACGTCCGCCTTAGAGACTCCAAATTCCCAGGCCCTGATGGTATCCCTTCGCTTATCTTAAAAGCTGGTGCCTCGGACATCTCCATCCTCATCCTTAATCACTTCAATATCTCCCTTATCACTGGCACAGCCCTAAGCCAGTGAAAGCACTCTACGATTGTTCTACACTATAACTCACGTTCAGCCACTTTCCCACACTCAAGAGCGTTTTATTAAAGTCCCAGTTATAGTTTACCCGCTCACTACCAAGGTCCTTTACAATCGATAGTGTGGGTCTATAGCACGGCGGTCAGAAAATATATACCAGGTTGATTTCTTACACCAACTTTGCGTATTATTCTTATCTATGTTGATATTCTCAAGGCATCTGACCAAGTTCTTTACGGTGCACTCTTCAACAAACTACGATCTACGGGGATTGGTGGCCCGCTACTGCGATCGTTCACTTCTCACCTCTCTTTTCGCCAGGGCAGGTGTCTCTCCTCATCACATCCGCTGGCAAAGTTATTCAGGTTAGTGTGCTTGGCCCCCTACTGTTCTTTGCTGTACAATAATAATGACACCAGTTCGATCATCCATGAACCCCTTTTTCATTCGCTGATCATATTAAGATGGCCTACTAGTTTGAGGCCAGTAACTCTGTTTCTGCGCTTGTTAACATTCAGTCTGATTTGTATTCTTTATCCCGCTGATCCTCTAACTCCTGTCTTACTTTCGCCATTCCGAAATGCCAAATCCTCTAACATCGATTCCGGATTCCTCTTGGGATGCTTATTCTTAGTGGACACTCGATTACCACACTTCCAAAAGCGAAATCCCAGGCCTTAGTTATTCATGTAAATTTATTTCTAACCAACGTGAAAGATACAGATGGGCTAAAGGTCGTGTGCTTTTTGTTTAAATTTGCCGATCCTTCCGCAATGAATCATGTTCAAGTGTAATCTTTTAAAAATTTGTAAGGCCCATTCTTGAATCCAGCTCTGAATTAGCCCCAAAGTATTCGCAGGCATACTGAACTGCTATGGCCAACGCGCAGCACTCGTTTACTATGTCCTTGTTTCCGGCGTCATCCACACTTCCGTATCCTATTCTCTGTTTATCATTTGGGATTGACCCGTTATGGCTGAGGCACATTATGTTGAACCTAGGCCTTTTGCATCGCCTGATTTACCGACAGGCTCACATAGCTGACTGCTGTGCTGAATTCGCTTCCTGTACTCCCTATAATATCCACAAATCTCGATTTTTACTCCGATTCTGGACCTGTCGAACCGTCTTCAGACAAAATTGTTCCCTTGCTTGTATTCCAGACCATAGAACAACCTCCTTTCCCATGTACGTGCTATAACATATCACATAGGATTTCAAAAATCCATCGATTTCTGACTTTCTATTGAGAAGCTGAGCACCTTTTCGCGTCAAAACTTACACTGTGCACTTTTTAAACAAGGCCCTAAGCATTTCTAATTTTCGCTATCGACCCAAATGTCCAAAAGTCCCAGCATGTACACTCACCAGCTCGAGCACCCTAACGTTAACCCACATGTGAGACAACTACCTTCCCAAGTGTTCTCGCCCATAAATCACCATTTTATCTATCTTCTATTCAGACGTTCATTTCATGAGAACACACCTAGACCTGTTCTCTGAAGCGTAGTTTCTTTGCATTAAGTGTCTAGCGCCTGTCATCGTAATTGTCGTGCGGCCCATCTCCACCGGCCTGGATGTATTTCCTTACATTTGGCCTTAAGCCTTTGTATCCAGCCAACTTTTTCCTACAA